GTACCCGGTACCTACATAAAAGAACCTGGTACCTACACAATAGAGGCTAATAGCTATCTAATTTATGGTAGGGTTTTATAGCCGTGAAGTCAACGAAATATTTTGGAATGGACTTTAACATACAGTGACATGAAGTGCCAACCAACGTCTGGTTGCGATGCTCATTTTCTGCTAACGCTTTACGGTGCAGGGCACGAATCTAGCCGAATATCAGTTGCGTTGGCAAAAAATAAATATGCGCCCGGGCCTGTGTGCTTCGGACACATGGCACACCGGTAGATACGCCACTGATAACACGAGTCAAGCTGACAACTTGCACGTTCCCTTTCTTAGACTCAATGGATCTAAAATATCAACTCTCTACCATGCTCTAGCCTTTCTTTAACAAATTGCCACCAGATATAAAAGCCATACTAGAGAAACTTTATGTGAGAACTGTGAAAGTTATGCTGGGGGGTATTTTATAGTTTCATTAAATTTTTGCAGGCAGATCTTGGTCATTAAAGTCTCCAACTCATATTTTTGTGATAATGCGGTCTGTTTCTTTTAGTGTTTACCCATTTATTTTAGTATTATATTTTTTTGTAGTGATTTTATTATTCTGTGTATTGTACTTACAGACATTTTAGGCGTGAAAGAGGATTTTTTGTAGCTAAATCGAATGAATGAAGAAAAACAAATCAGAGAAAGTTGGATTATGACTAAAGTTTTGGGAATGTTGCTACGCCACCCAATATTTCTGAAAACATTTGGATCACTAATACTGATGATGATTCTTGTGCATATTATCTGACTATAAAATCGAGATGTTAGTTCAAGGTTGTCACCGCTTTAATTATGCAAATAAGGCAATCGGAATATAAAATCGATATGTTTATGTTAGTTCAAGGTTGTTACCGCTTTTGCATACATTAAGTGCCAACTCATAGATAGGCAATTACTTATACATAATTGAAGTCGGGTAAGTGTTTGGAAGAAGTCCGGAGAGGTCAGGAAAGGGCTGGATAAGGTCGGGAGAAATCTAGACAAGTCTGGATAAAGTCTGGATAAGGCTGGATAAAGTCTAGCTAAGTCTGGAAAAGTTTGGATAAGTTTGGATAAGTTTGGATAAGTTTGGATAAAGTCTGGAAAAGCCAGAAAATTTCTGGAAACGTCTGGAAAAGGCTCTATTAGGTCTGGAGAAATCTAGACAAGTCTGGATAAAGTCTGGAAAAATCTACCCAAGTCTGGAAAAGTCTGGATAAAGTCTGGAAAAGCCTGGAAATTTCTGGAAACGTCGGAAAAAGGCTGGGTAAGGTCTGGAGAAATTCAGACAAGTCTGGATAAGGTCTGGAAAAGTGTATTTGAAGTCGGGAAAGTGTTTGGGAGAAGTCCGGAGAGGTCAAAGGGCTGGATAAGGGCTGGAGAAATCTAGATAAGTCTGGATAAAGTCTGGATAAAGTCTGGATAAAGTCTAGCTAAGTCTGGAAAAGTCTGGATAAGTTTGGATAAAGTCTGGAAAAGAGCCAGAAAATTTCTGGAAACGTCTTGAAAAGGCTCTATTAGGTCTGGAGAAATCGAGGCAAGTCTGGATAAAGTCTGGAAAAATCTAGCTAAGCTTAGAAAAATCTGGATAAAGTCTGGAAAAGCCTGGAAATTTCTGGAAACGTCTGGAAAAGGCTTAATAAGGTCTAGAGACATTCAGACAAGTTTGGATAAAGTCTGGAAAAGAGCCAGAAAATGTCTGGAAACGTCTGGAAAAGGCTCTATTAGGTCTGGAGAAATCTAGACAAGTCTGGATAAAGTCTGGAAAAATCTAGCGAAGTCTAGAAAAGTCTGGATAAAGTCTGGAAAAGCCTGGAAATTTCTGATAACGTCTGGAAAAGGCTTGATAAGGTCTGGAAAAATTCAGACAAGTCTGGATAAAGTCTGGAAAAGTGTATTTGAAGTCGGGAAAGTGTTTGGGAGAAGTCCGGAGAGGTCAGAAAAGGGCTGGATAAGGTCTGGAGAAATCTAGACAAGTCTGGGTAAAGTCTAGCTAAATCTGGAAAAGTCTGGATAAGTTTGGATACAGTCTGGAAAAGCCAGAAAATTTCTGGACACGTCTGGAAAAGGCTCTATTAGGTCTGGAGAAATCTAGACAAGTCTGGATAAAGTCTGGAAAAATCCAGCCAAGTCTAGAAAAGTCTGGATAAAGTCTGGGAAAGTCTGGAAATGTCGGGAAACCTCTGGAAAAGGCTTGATAAGGTCTGGAGAAATTTTGACAAGTCTGCATAAAGTCTAGCTAAGTCTGGAAAAATCTGGATAAAGTCTGGAAATTTCTGGAAACGTCTGGAAACGCATGGAAATTTCTGGATTGGCTCGGAAAAATTCTGGAAAATCTGGAAAGGGTTGAATTTTAGCGGATCTCAAAGCTCACAATAATCACAAGCATTAGCGTTGAAGTTTGCTTCGGCATTTTCAATGTTCTCCTCGGTTGCATCTTTGTGAAGGACTCTGAATTTTTTACTTATGTGACAATTCTCTGACAATATGCCTATTAGCTGGGCTATTAGATATTGCTCTGTAGATGGTTGTTTTTCAAAGCAAGGAAGTGGTTTAATATTTTTTCGAGGTCCAATAAAAGAATCTAGGTATGTATAGGGTTTTCCAATAGTAACGCTCGATGTTTGACAATAGCCCATGAAAAACTCGAAAGGCACACAGGTGCTATCTTTGGCAGCCGTATTCAATTAGTCTCTGCATTTTATTATGGAGCGCTACACGATTGAGCAACGCGTCGGAATTGTTAAAAATTATTATCATTATCAAAACCAATGTTCTATTCGGAAAACGTTTCGTGCACTCCGTGCAATTTATGATGTCAACGATCGTCCTTCAGAATCCACAATTGGCCGACCTAACGTCACTGGATTTTTTTCTCTAGGCATTCTAAAATCCAAAGTCTATGTTGACAAATCTCGAACGGTTGCCGCCTTAAAGGCCAATATTAAGCACTTATTGCTGAAATTGAGCCATTTTGATGCGATAACGAACACTAAATGATTCTAACGACAATCTAAAATTGTCGGAGAAATGTATTGATAATTCGGATATTGTTGAAAACATCTATGAGAAGTGAAGTCCGTCGATTTTAATCTAATACTCGAAAGAAATGTGAGCTGGTGGCACCCTACATTTGAACGCCAATGGTCACCTAACGTCACCCCTGGTTTTCGCTTCACCCCCTCGCTCCTCATTCGAAAAGTCGACGAACAATACTAAAAGAAGGAAGATTCAGGGACTTGACCAAATCTGCAATACTTTCTGCAAGAAATGTTGATGTCGAAGAAATAAACGAATAAGTTGTCGAACTGTTGGACGTCAAGACCGAAAAACTCTACACCAGTATAGATAGTGTTAAGAACTGTGATAATAGTGATCTAAATGATGCTATTCTTCCAAAATATTTAAATTGGCTTAATCCGCCGAATTCCCGCTCCATGAATTACGATTGAAAACGAATTCTATTGTATGCTTATTAGAAATCTAAGCATCAGTGCAGGCCTTTGCAATGGTACAAGGCCTTTAGTTCTGGAACTTGGGGATAATCTGTTACGCTGTGAGATATTGACTGTAGATAAACAGGGAGAAATAGTGTTCATAAATCGAATAACACTCTACTGCGAAAACGTCTACCCCTTTACGTTCAAACAATGACAATTTTAAAATAAAATTAGCCTTTGCAATGAATGACGATTAACAAATCTCAAGGACAAACATTTGATAGGATAGTAATTGATCTCCAGAAAGGATGTATTAGTCACGGACAACTTTATGTGGCGCTTTTCAGAGTTCGTTCGTGGGACTCATTGAAAGTTTAGTCAGGGAAACAAAGAGGCAATAGTGTTGTCAAAAACCATGTTTTTAAAGAATTGTTTTTTTGATAATTTAATTTTGAAATTTCGCAGTCATAGGTGATTTCAGAAGATCTTTACAACTTATTTACAAGATATTTGAAGATCACAAGACAAAAACCTGAACACGATAAACATAAATAATTGAAAATAACGAAGAACGACATGAAGACTTAGCACTCTTTAAACTTTGGATTCTTACGAGTTCCATAAAATAGAATAAGTTGCACTGGACATATGCACACCGTATATTCAAAAAATAAGATCGATTTAAAGTCATTACGATATACCGCAAAAGTAATAATTCGCCAACTACTTTGATCACATTTAAAATTTATGTCTACCACGTAGGTACAAACAAAAAATGTAAGTTGAATAATTGAGCAATTGCATTTAAAATCTTTTAAAAAAATTTTTTTTCGATTGTTGGCAGTAAAATGTTGATCGAGTAGACTTCAATAACTGGCCTAATAAAAAAAAGGAACTTCATGAAAGTGTAAAAAAAAAAATTAAGACTCGATATCTCGTATTATACCACAGCACATAAATAGTTACTAACTCGGTTTATAATAACACCTTGATTATGGTTATGATTATTCTGTTTTAAATAAACCACTTCGAATAATGTATACCTACACCTACGAGTTCCATAAAACAGAATGAGATAAGTAGACATACGCACACCGTACATTCAAGAAATGTGATCGATTTAAAATCATTATGATATACCATACAAAAATAATTAGTCACCAACTCCATCCATCGCATTTGAAATTTCTTCACTAGAATAACATCTATACAACTTATCTCACTGTTACATTTAATGTATAATGTACATTTAAATCAAAAATTATGCTGTTTTTTGTACAACACCTAATAAATATTTTCCATTTTATAATTATTTTGATGGACTTGATTTAAAAAAAAAGCGCGCGAAGCGCGATCATGACCTAGTAATAATAACAAAAGCATGATTTTTAGTTTGGGGAGTTATGATGGACTTATTGCAGGAACTATTGAAAATGATATAATTAATATCTTCCATGGGTACCTACTACAAAATAGAAATAATAAATTTCAGTCCAACCAATAATTATTTATTTAATTCATTAACAAAGCTACAAGTTAATATTCATCATAAAACCCCCTGAGTCTCGATACGCAGGCCATCAATTCCTGATTGTATTGTCTCATATCATGAAGCACTCGTTCTTTTTTGTAACAATTATTGTCCAGCTTAAACATTTGAAAAAAGTCTTTATTACACGGAACATTTTCAATAAGTAGTTGAACCAATTGTGTTCCCAACCATCCATGATGCAATTCCAATGATTCCGCGTAAGCTTTCCGAAATAACGAGCTCACCTCCTCAGGTTGTTCCTTCTCTGTTTCATTAGAAGTAGCATATTTGAAAAATAAACTATAAAAATGCAATTCCCTGGCGAGCCATAATAAAGCCTCTGTGGCCATGCCACGAACTCCCGTCTCTTTCTTTTCGCCGAGAATCATTCTTTCTACGTATTGGTTTTTAACTATATTTTCATGATACTTTTCTTTGAGAGTTTCTATATTTTGTTTCATATCGGCTATAAGCGAGGCAAAAGCTTTTCCGAATTTCTCGAATAACTGGACAGCGTCGGAACAGGCGTGCAGAAACTCGGCAGTTTCTAACTGATTTTCTCTGGTGGGATTTGGAAAAGTTTTTAGCAAGGAAAATGCAGTCTTTGTATTTTCATTTTCTTCTGACATTCTGTTAATTTTATTTATATCAAAAATTGACATTAAAAGGCTTTTTACAGGTACTCAATTGTTTGGATTTAGGCGGTTACACACGGACGTGTATGTCTGAAAATATGTACAGGGTATTTGATTATATTTGGCACCATACCTACAGCCTTTACTATTTAAGATAGAAATTTTTTTTTAATACAAAACAGTTTTTTTCTGTATTTTCGGAAAACGTTATCAGAAAAAACAAAATCGCATCGGAAAATGGAGAAACGTAAGCAACTTTGACTTTTTTAATGGACCACCCTGTATATTATGCGATAAAATGAAAGATCTATTCTTTCTGATTCCAAATATATATATATTGATAACATTTGCTTGAGCAATTTTTGACATATCTCAGGTTAAATTATGAAGAATTTGCAGAAAAGTTCCATAAGGATCTCTATCTTTATAAAATTTCTTTGCAATTTAGTTATAATTTAAGCTGAGATATGTCAAAATTGGCTAACGCAAATGTGATCAACATATATATATTTGTAATCAGGAAGAAAAGGTCTTTCAGCACCATAACTACAGCCTTTACTATTTGAGATAGAAAAAAATTTTAAATACAAAACTTGACAGTTTTTTTCTGTCTTTTCTTTTGACAGTATCAGAAAAAACAAGATCCCATCGGAAAATGGAGAAACATAGGCAACTTCAACTTTTTTCAATGGAACACCCTGTATATTATGCGATAAAATTGAAGATCTTTTCTTCCTGATTCCAAATATACATATATTGAGCACATTTGAGTGAGCCGATTTTGAAATATTTTAGCTTAAATTTGCAAAGAAATTTCATAAGGATGTCAAGACATTTAAATCTTCATAAAATTCCTTTGGATTTTATTTAAAATTTAAGTTAAGATATATCAAAAACGACTCACTCAAATATGATCAGTATATATACAGGGTGCTACAAATTGGAGTGCATGCATCGGAATATCGGAAACCGTAAGAGATACGAGGTTGGTTTAAGTATGGCAAAGTTGCGCAATTTTATGACCAATAAAATTCCGTTTTGAAATTTGAAAAATTCCGAAGATATTCGGAAAAAACCGAAATTTTGCAAAATCATTATTATTTTTTCCTGAGTCTATTTGAAGAGCAATTTCAAAATAAATGTCACTTCATCATTGTCACTTTTTTCCCTTTACAAGATGTTGCTACCAAATTTCAGATTCGACGTTTCGTCTTTGGGCGGCCATCATCAACTTCGTTTTTCTAAATACGGGCCTGGATTTTTTATTTCAGATTTTAAGAGTTTCTGATGTCCTAAAACCAATGAGATATTGCATTTATTCGAAAAATTTATATTATTGGCAATTTCTATAAGAAATTCATGTGTTAGAGAGAGACAGAGAAGAGAATTTTGGTAGAAAATTGCTAAAAAGTAATAAAAATAATTTTTCGAATAAATGCAATACGTCATAGGTTTTGGGACATCAGAAACCCTTAAAATCTGAAATAAAAAATCCAGGTCCGTATTTAGAAAAACTAAGTTGATGATGGCCGCCCAAAGACGAAACGTCGAATCTGAAATTTGGTAGCAACATCTCGTAAAGGGAAAAAAGTGACAATGATGAAGTGACATTTATTTTGAAATTGCTCTTCAAATAGACTCAGGAAAAAACAATAAGGATTTTGCAAAATTTCGGTTTTTTCCGAATATCTTCGGAAGTATTCGGAATTTTTCAAATTTTAAAACAGAATTTTATTGGTCATAAAATTGCGCAACTTTGCCATAACTTAACCAACCTCATATCTCTTACGGTTTCCGATATCCCCATGCATGCACTCCAATTTGTAGCACCCTGTATATTTGGAATCAGGAAGAAAAGATCTTTAATTTTATCGCATAATATACAGGGTGTTCCATTGAAAAAAGTAGAAGTTGCCTACGTTTCTCCATTTTCCGATGCGATTTTGTTTTTTCTGATACTGTCAAAAGAAAATATAGAAAAAAACTGTCAAGTTTTGTATTTACAATTTTTTTCTTTCTTAAACAGTAAAGGCTGTAGGTATGGTGCCAAATATAATCAAACACCCTGTACAGCATTCATACAAAAAAAGTAGTGATGAGCGATATATCACGAACTGTGATTAATTCACTGATATCTAAAAATCACAATCACAAAAACATTTTTTCATTAAAATTAAACTAAAAATGAGATTCCAAGACCTTATTTGGGAAATTTATTGTTTTATAATCGTGATTATTTAATTATTCAACAGGTTTTAATTTAATTAAACCATTTAAAATGTCATTAATGTCATGCGGCAACGTCGCTTTTCGTCGGCCATTTTGCGGTGACGTGTCTACGTTTTTATCTCCTTGGATTTTCCATTTTTCCAGGGCGTTTTAAGTCGGAAAAACTGGTTTAAAGTACGAGGCTTTGAGTTTTTTTTATTTTATGCAAAAAATTTCCAGTTTTCCAATGGGGTAAGTGACAAAAACTCAAGTCTCATCAAGTAAGTGCTGGAATGTTCTTTTTAGAGGTTTTTCTTTGGATTTTCCGCTTTTCCAAAACTTCTTCAATTAGGAAAACCAATTTTAAATATGAGGCTTTAAGTTTTTTCCATTTTGTACCAAAAATTTCCAGTTTTCCAATGGAGTAAGTGACTAAAACTTAAATTTCATCAAGTAGGCTTTGGAATGTCCTTTTCAGAGGTTTTTATTTGAATTTTCCGTTTTTCTGGGGCTTTTTTGGTCGGGAAAACCGATTTTAAGTACGAGACTTTGAGCTTTCTTCATTTTTTAGCACAAATTTATATTTTTAAATGCAATAATTAGGAAAATCCCATTTAAAAGCTTTTTCTGGAAGTTTTGATGTGGCAATATCGTTTATAGCCAACTTCAATCATGTAAACCTTGTAATAAATGTCATTTGTCAATTTGAAAAGTCGACCATTTTGGGTTTTTATCCATGTTATTCCTCGAAATTTCCGCTTTTCCAAGCCGTTCTAAAACGGAAAAAATGGTTTAAAGTACGAGGCTTTGAATTTCCTTCATTTTTTGCCAAAAGTTTTCAGTTTTCCAAAGTAACAAAAACTCAAATTTCATCAAGTAGGCTTTAGAATGTCCTTTTCAGAGGTTTTTCTTTGGATTTTCTGCTTTTCCAGGCCGGGAAAACCAATTTAAAGTACGAGGCTTGGAATTTCTTTCATTTTCATCCAAAAATTTTTAGTTTTAAATTAAAATTAAGAACGCCAAAAAAAAATTAGTGAAAAACAACTTTTAAGGGAATTTATATCTTTTTTTTTTTTTAGGTGGCAATACTGCTTTGTACCCAACTTTACTCGGGTTACAATCCAGTAGGTCTTGGAATGTTATTTCTAAAGTGACATGTGACATTTGAGAAAAAAGTATGGTCACTATTATAGGCTGGTACATTTTTACTGAATCTGGTATAATTTGTCTTTAATTTTGATACAAAAAATTTTTACTCTCTGGCAACACTGGCTGTTGCTGTTGTTATAGTTTAATCAATATAGCAACTATCATTAAATCAACTATATTTTTATGGGGATTCTGTAATTTTAAACTTGTTATACTTTCCCTCAATGTCGAATGATACTTTCCCTCAATGTCGAATGAAGTCTTTCAATAGGACTATTCGAATTTGGGTTTCTGGGAGTTACATAATGGAATTCTATATTATACAGTGTACATAAGTCTAAACTCTGTTCCACTATCTGAGGTTATCTTTTTAGGGATTCCGTGGTCACTGAAGTATTTTAATAATTGTGACGTCACTCCAACGGCAGTTTTTGTCGTTATCGGGTAAGCTTGACTCAACTTCGAGAAACTGTCAATGATTGTTAGAAACTTTTGATTATTTATGATATATGTATCCATATAAAGATGTTCAAAAGGTTTCGTTCCAATCGCTGTTGGTTTGAAAACTATCTTGTGTGGATGTCTTTCATACTTTGTTTTGTTACAAATTTCACATACCTTAACGTATGCTTGGCCAATAGTTACTTTTTTTTAGAGCTGAAACGTTTTCATCAATTCTTCTGTAGGATGTTTTCGTTTCATGATAGATCTTAGATGATTCTCCTTTCTCTATTGGAATAACTTCCTTTTTTAATTCCGTTTTGGTAGTATTCTTTACTTTTTGAATCTGTGGTAATTCTTCTTTTGGAATCTTTGATGATTCTCCCTTTTCTATTGGAATAACTTTCTTTGTTTTTGCTGGTATTATCATTTGTGAAATTATATTGATTTTCGGTTTTGGTTTAGGTTCTGGTGCCTTTGGTATTGATTTCTTTTCTGCTTTTGGAATGTAAAGTTCAGTGTCTAGGAAATATTTTCTTATTATTTCATTATTCAAGGGTATCTTTTAAAATTTAAATTCCAGAAGAAAAACTCGAAGTCTTCCAAAAATACTTATTTTTGGAGAAAGACTTCGAGTTTTTCTTTTGGAATTAAATTCTTACCTTCACTTTGAGAAATGGACTACTTCTTCAATTTTAATATTTTAACCAATTGTCTATAAAATTCATCATCTGATTTCGTTATATGTATTAGTTCGCCGTAACTTTTTTCGGATTCGGTTTTGTTCCGTTTGGGGTGATTATATGACCTAGGAATTCTACAGTTTTATGCAGAAACTCTGATTTATCCAGCTGAATTTTTGGTTTATACTTTTCTAATCTTTCGAAAACTCTTTTCAAATTCTTTATATGTTCTCTTGGAAAGTGGCAGAGGCATTTTTTAATCCAAAGGGCATTAGTTTAAACTCGTGATGACCATTTGCTACGTTGAAAGCTGTTTTTGGTATTGAATCAGGGTGCATTTCAATTTGATGAAATCCAGAAGCTATAGATCGAGTGTTGTAAAATAATTTGCTTCTCCCTAAACTGTTAAGTATATCGGTTATGTTTGGTAACGAATATCTGTCGTCAATTGTCTTCTCATTTATTTTCCAGTAATCAACTACCATTCTCCATTTTTGGGTACCAGAGGCATCT